ACGAATAAAAGAAGATACATCTATTGGTTGCCAACATGAGCCCACATATGCTCAACCAAATCATTTTGCAGTTATACGTGAGTTTCTCAATCACGCATGTCTTGATGAAATTGGGTGAACTGTTCAAACATTGCCGCTACTCCATGCTTAGGCACAACATTCTTACCCTGAAACTGAAACCCTTGATCATACAGACGTTTCAGGCGCTCGTCTTCTACGATCATATTATCCATGATCACATAAGCAGTCATCACCTCCCATAATTTCTGCATGCTCCAGATATTAGCAGGATACCGGACGATGCCCTATCGAGATTGCAAAACACCAAAGGCACGCTCGACATCCTTCCTAGTACTCTCTTGCTCTTGGGTAAATATTTTCCTCTTCTCTCCGACAGGGTTGGGTATTGTCTTAACAATAGTGGTCCACTGAGGATAGATACCGTCACCCAGATAGTATCCTTTATCGTAGGTGTGGCCGTTGACAGTAAAGTTCACCGGCGGGATGTTGCCTTCGGCAAGCCTAGCAAACACCGGTGAGCGCTGAAGCTCGTTGATATCATTGTGTGATCCGGCCATGCCAAAGAAAGAGTGCCAGATCCAGAGATTTTGAGACGCCACGGCCTCAAGTATGACAGTGCAAGCCCTGACATGGCCCTTATACTGCCCTTGCCAAGCAGAAGGGCGGTTCTTCCACTCCTAATGCATGCAGTCTATACTACCAAGCATGCTAGGAAGCCCCGGCTAGCATTCATCGCCAACAAACGGGATGTATCTTTAGCAGTCGGCTCTCTCAAGTACTCAGGCCAAACACAGCAATAACAGCCTTGCAGAACTTATACAGGGACTCTAGGCAAGAAGACTCGCTCAAACGGATGTACTCGTCAATGAGATCACCGGGCACTCCGTATGCAAGCATTCGGATGGCGGCAGTGCATTTCTGATAAGAGGAAAAACCAATCTTGCCAACGGCATCCTCTTTGCACTCAAAATAGTCATCATAGCCGACCACCCCCTCTCTAATACGGTTGAAAAGATGCCTACTCATACGAAAACGGCGGAGGAATTTCTGATGTTTGAAGAACGGGTTTGTTGTATCAAAGTAGTCCTTCCAAAGAAGGAAATGCCCGCTCTCTCGGTTGCGATTCAACGCCAGAAGGTGGCCCGGAATGGAGCCACGAAACAATGGCCGCTGACTGTTGAGGTGGTGATGGACCAACACAGCAGTCAATATCTCCTCCTCGTCATCGGAGGACGAATCGTCGGAGTCGCAAAGGAAATTGTGAAAAAAGAACTCGTCGGCGGAGTCCATTTTGTACCTTGGCAAATTGTCGACCAACTTGTGGGCGTCGGCGAAGGAGACGGCCGGCGAAGGGAGTTGCGGCGCGCACGGACTAGCTAGCTGTCTTGCCGGCGTCCGGCGAGCGTGCCAGCGTGTCGGCGTCCGATGAGCGTGCCGGTGAGGATTTGGCCGGGCGGCAAGGCGACTTCTTGGTCGGGGGCGGCTGTGTGGTGGGGGGGCGCGGAGGGTGGGAAGCAGTCGGCTCCCGGCGGCAAGACGGCGATGGCGGGCGACGTGGGAGTGGGCGGCGTAGCTGGGCTGATGTGGAGGCCCCGGCAGCTGGCAGAGTCGCCGACAAAAATGGGCGGCGGCGACGACGACGGAGGAGGAGGGCGAGGGTTGCTGTTGGATGGGGGAGGGCAATGTGACACAGACCAGCGGGCCCGAGGGAGGAGAGGGTGAGCGTGCGCCGTCGCCTGTCCGCGCCGACGCAAATCCGGCTCAAAAATGGGCCGGGTGGGTCGCCCGCGGACGAAAAGCCGACACGCGTCTGACTCAGCACGTTGGGCCGCCTTTTCTGTCCGCGCCGACCCAAACGATCGGCGGCGGACGAAATGGGTCGCCCCGTTGGAGTTGCTCTAATCAACTACTTTTCAGAACTACAGGGCGCCATATAGTACTAAAAATGCTGTTATATTAAATATATTATGAGACGGAGGCACTAGTTTTGGCGATTATAGCTGGCCAAACGGGCCGGCCCAGCCCGGCACGGCACGGCCCATCCTAATCGTGCCTGGCACGGCCCGGCCCGCCTAGGCACGATTATTATACGGGCCGTGCCGTGCCAGCCCGCGTGCTGCAGCCTGCAGCCCAGGCACGGCCCGTATGCTAATCGGGCCGGCCCACCGGCACGCCAAGCCCACTAATCTACCTCCTATTTTGCGCATTGAGCGTTTTTTAGCCTATTTTTATCTGTTGGTCCATATTAGGATACATAAAAAAAATAAAAAAGTTAATCGGGCCGTGCCGTGCCGGCCCGCGTGCTCGCCCTTCAGGCCTAGGCACGGCCCATGGCATGCCACGTGCCGGGCCCGGCCCGTTTAGCACGTGTCGTGCCGTGCCGGCCGTGCTACCGGGCCGGCCCAACTATCCCGACCCGTTTGGCCAGCTATAGTGGCGATCCGGTTGACGCGTAGGCACCCATAGACAAAGACTAGCCGGCCATACAAGGCAGGGGTCGTGACAAAAGAAACCCGCGGAAAGAGAAAGAGCCGTCACGGATCGGTCAGTCCACCACTCCACACGGCAGTACGGCCAGGCAGCCCCCAAATCAGTCCACCACACGACAGACGATATTTTCCTTTTCCATTTTCCCCTCAATATAATAGAACCCCGTTGCGGTGGGACCCGGCAGCGAATCGCAGCCCACCACTCTAGCAACTCTACTCGGCTCGGCCACTCGCTTTCCTCCCCTCACCCGTCCGTTCTCCCCACCCGCGTACGCCGCGGTACAACGCCACACACGCGGGCGAGCGGCGGCCTTCCGCGCGCCTTCTCCGCCTCATAATTTTAGTCTCCCGTCACGAATACCGCGTCCGTCCCCAGCTCCCCCCGCGGCCCCATACCTATATATGACTTCGCCCGCGCTCCATCACACCTCAACCATCTCCTCCTCCTCGTCGTCGATCCTCCTCCTCATCCCGCGTCTCACTGAAGCACCCGACTGCCAGTACTGTACTTCCGACTGCCGCCGCCGATCGAGCTAGCTCCGCCAGCCAAGACTCGACGAGACTGATCGGATCATGAGCACCTACCTCACGCCCTTCACCCCTCTTCCATCGCTCTTCGACGGCCCAGCAGCTGCCGACGACCACTCCTCCCTCCTCGCCTTCCTCATGAACGACGACCTCGCCGCCGCGCCCGACGCCTTCCCTTACTACGGCGCCGCCGAGGCCGCGCCAGCCTTCTTCGGACACGCCGCCGCGCCGTTGCCACCGCCACCAGCGGAAATGACTGGTCAAGGAAGGAAACGCGGCTTCGTCCCCGCGGGAGACGACGGCTCGTCGCGGCCGCAGGCGGTCAGGAGGAAGGTGCAGGGCTCGCCGCCCACCTCGCCTGCCCACAGCGGCGGCGACGCAGCACCAGCGGCAAGGAGCGGGGGCCGGCGGGTGTGGGTGCGGGAGCGGAGCACGGAGTGGTGGGACCGCCTCAGCGGCCCGGCGTGCCCGGACGCCGAGTTCCGCCAGGCCTTCCGCATGTCGCGCGCCACCTTCGACGCGCTCTGCGACGAGCTCAGCGCCGCCGTCGCCAAGGAGGACACCGCGCTGCGCGCTGCCATACCCGTGCACCAGCGCGTCGCGGTCTGCCTCTGGCGCCTCGCCACCGGGGAGCCCCTCCGCGAGGTCTCCCGCCGCTTCGGCCTCGGCATCTCCACCTGCCACAACATCGTCCTCCAGGTCTGCGCCGCCCTCACCGCCGTCCTCCTGCCCAAGGCCGTCCGCTGGCCGCTGGAATCCCCCGCCTCCAGGTTCCAGGCCATGTCCGGGATTCCCGGCGTCGTCGGCTCCGTGTACACCGACCACATCCCCATCGGCCCACCCAAGGACAACGTCGCCGAGTACTACAACCGCCGCCTCACGGAGCGGAACAACAAGGCCTCCTATTCCGTCGCCGTGCAGGCCGTCGTGGACGCTGACGGCGCCTTCACGGACGTATGCATCGGCCTCCCTGGCTCGCTGTCCGACGCCGCCGTGCTCGAGAGGTCCGCGCTGCACGCCCGCTGCGAGACCGGCATGCTCGGAGACGACCAGTGCCGGCTGGTGGGCGGCGCGAGCTACCCGCTCACGGACTGGATGCTCGTGCCGTACGCGCACCAGAACCTGACATGGGCGCAGCACGCCTTCAACGAGCGCATCGCCGCCGCGCACGCAGCAGCACAGGGCGCCTTCCAGAGGCTCAAGGGGCGGTGGCGCTGCCTGCAGCGCCGCACCGAGCCCAAGCTGCCGGACCTCCACAACATGATCGGTGCCTGCTGCGTGCTGCACAACTTCTGCGAACGCAGCGGCGAGGAGCTCGACGCCGACATCCAGTCCGAACTCTCCCAGCAGGACGATGCCGGCGTGGTCGCCGCTGCCAATCCAGTGCTGTCCGCAGAGGCCGACAAGGAGCGGGACAGGATTGCTCACGACCTCCTCCATGGCGGCCACCCCAGCGTTACATTCCTCTAGGGGCCTGTTCGCCGTGTCAAAACGCGGGCTTCTGTAATGTGATGAACTACTGATCTTCCATGAAAGCATAGGAAGAATCCCAGTTCAGAACATACAGCTTTCGAATGGGATTAGGACTATTTTTTTCATGCTTGTTCCAAGAGATATTTAGAAGGCACTGACAATGATATCAGAAAACGTAGCGCATTCAAATCTGGTGTAAGTATCATAATGTGGAAGGAATTCACAATATCCATTTGTCCATACCCATGTCATTCAGTAATACTCAATCACTACTAAAGACCAAATTGGCTAACATTTTAAGTGCCAGTCTATCATCATGTGATAGATACATCTCAATTTCTTGACTGGTATGTACAAGGCACAAGCAGAATTGCCCCAGACAGATCTTGTTTGCTAGACAGCAAGACCTGCAACAAGGTCTTGGATACAGTAATCTTACAAGCACCATTCTGTGAGGTATGTTCTAGTTGGAAATCTGACTCTCACTTGCTATACTTGTGTAAATTCCAACGCATTTCCATCCGGGTCTCGCGCAAAGATCGCTGGTCGCCCAGATTTGCTGAGCGTGTAGCTGATTCCTGCATCACGGTCAAGGCGTAGAAGGTCATTGTGTTGTCGGACAATGGACGATAGAGAAATTTTGTGAGGCTAACTAGAATCCAGCATAATGAATTGCAAAACTGCAATGCAGTCTAATTAACATTAATAAAGTCATAGTAGGTGACGCGGTAATGTCAACTAAGAGAATTAAGTTCTAACATAAAACATGGAACAGTGAGTCTTTATGTTCTCATGTCGAAGAGATGGGAATGTGGGTGATAAAGTCATGTGGACGTAATATGCTCGACATTCTTAGAAATCAATTGACCAGTCTTTTAAAAGCTTATCTGATCAGCATCACTGTTCAAGTGTTGAATCAACTATAACATCAGACCGCCCTTTTGACACCTTGCAACAATTTCTACAGAATGGTTATTTTAAACCCAGGACAGGTTTTTCCAGAGCCAAGACACCTATAACTTTACCCTCAGAGGTTTTGATTGCCATGTCTGTCACACAAATAGCCTGACCGGCAACAGTTACAAATTTAGGCAGAACCATAACATACTATGGATAACTTCACTCTATTAACAGTAATTGACAGATACAGTTGAGGCGATGAATATGTCTATCTCTGCAACCATATCTACCAAGGCAAACGCCATACTGCAGTTTTATAAGTTCGATCTTTAGTGCTTGTACTACCAATCCATGGGTTTTCGTGGGTCACCTTAGAATTTAATACTCCCTCCGATCCATATCAATTGTCGCTCACGTAATATAACTTTGTACTAAAGTTGTACTAAGTGGGTGACAAGTAATATGAATCGGAGGGAGTACTTTTTTTTTATCTATGAGTAAGTATACAGATCCTTTTGGAGCTTGTGCGTTTAGTTGCTGAATTGTTGAAACTTTGGGCTACTCACCGCAGTAATGTAAGGTTAAATGCTCTACTAGCGGTTAGCGTTGTTGGTGGCAAGTAGAGGAAAAACGTATGTGCACACTGTAGCCAGTGTCTGTTGTACACAGCAGAAAAAAATAGAGTTAGAATTCAGATATACCAGCTTTGTCAAATATTTCTTTCAACTTCAAGACATCTCTGATTGCTATACAGGTATGACGATCACGCCCGCCATGCTCTGGGCGTCCTGTCAGTGGATCCGGATTTGGCAGCTCCATCAAGTGGATCATCTCAGAACCAACCCAGAGCCAAGCACCTCTGTACGGAAGCTTGTCATTTGGCCTAGCAGGATTCACCTTAAGACCTGAATGATCAACAGTATCATTTTACTTTATAAGCAGTGCATATACATGTGAAACATATACAACTCGCAGATAACTCACCAAGGAGGTCCTGGTAGAATGCCATCGACCTTTCAAGATTTTCACATAGTATTCCAACATGGTGCATACTAACAACTCCATAGTCAGGTTCTGCGTTTGACATCAGAAATGATTTCATTCAGACACTAAGGAATAATCATGGAACTTTGACCCAAAATGTGTTGCTTCGTTACCTTGAGGTAATGGAACCCAGCCTTTCTAAGTCGTATGAAAGAAGAAATGACATTGACACAAAAACTTGCTTATCAACGACAGGAATGCAGAGTACTCTTATGACGTTATGCAAATTAAGCTCTTGGTAATCTCCCTTGCACATAGAGATCAAGACCTACCTACCAATTGTATTTTGATGCTGCATGTACTAAAATATTACTCTGTGGCATGCAAGCAAATTCCAGTGAGCACCCATAATTTCAGAAAAAATGAACACCGTGAATGCAAATATCGACCAAGGTTGGTCTGGCCAGCAACCCTGGCTAGCTTTGATTGTTAAGCCAAAAATCTGGCTAGTTACAGTTTTGCTACTTCAGTACCAGCTACTAAAAACATGTCATAGTTTGGGTTTTAATGCCTAACATATTGATATACTGCTCCTTTCAGAGAAGTAATTCTAAAGCTATTGCTTGTGTCGTTGTATACTCTACTCTCAACTGCTCCTCAGAACCTCCATTGAAAAATGCAAACACAGGTAGCCTCTGGGATTGGATCTGCAACCTTAGAATTAGTACTAACTAGAACTAGATCTAAATTCTTTTAGACCATGGTAATGATCTAACTAGTACTAGTCGTATCGATGTAATTGCAGAGAGAGAATTTCTTGGACAGTCCAGGCCCAAGCTGAGGCAGCAAAACATTTTTCCTCCACGACCAAACGTCGCCAATGTTTTCACTCCGCAGATTCAGTAACGCAGAAATTTTAAATACTAAAGAAACAATCGTTGCACTCCATACAGCCTAAAGTACATCTCGTCTACACAGATGTGCTATCAGTACTAGATAGGAACGAAAAAACAAAAGTACTACGATAGGAACATAAAAATCTTACCCTGGGACTGCTCCTTGGCCGTCAGGGACTGCTCACCGCCGGTGGCCACCGACATGTGAGTACGGATCCGGCGGTGCGCGGCAGCAGAGGGAGTGTGATGCGTTCTGACCACAGCGCAGGCCTTCCCGGAGCCGGATGCGGAGAGGAGAGGGAGAGAAGAGAGGCACCTCATCGCCATTGTGGCCTTCCCAACTCCGATTCGGCTCCGTGCGTGGGCTTTCTGGGCCTGTATTTTTGTGTGGCTCCAGCCTTCTTCTCACCTTTGTCTCTTTCAGGGTTGTTTTTTCTGGTTTTCTTTTTGGTGCCGATGGGATTAATTGCACGCCTCAAATTTCTTCTTTTCTCTCCAAAAGAATCATTCCTTGAATTTCATGATGCCGACAAATAGTAGGACAATGATCATTTTCCTTTTTTTTTAACATTTCTTTTAAATTTATTTCCTCATGTGATTTAAACTATTCCTCTACACAATTAGTTTATCCGTTTATATTGACATTGTGCTCGTGGCGGTTATTCAATGGTCTAACCTAGAGGGGCAAATGAGTTTTGAACAATCTAGACTAAACTCGGCCTAGAGCGAGCTCAAATTGACTTGAGATACGGGAGGTGGAAGAAGACTTGTGCCCCGAGGACTTACTTGCAATTTCATTCCTTGTCATGGGTGTATGGAGTTGGTTTAATCTATTGGAGTTTATTCCCGCAAAAGAAAATTGCACAGGTGGTTCGTATTCGGCTTGTAATGATTTTGATTCAATCTCGAGCCAGTTTTTAGTCAGCTAAATTTTTTACTATTAAAGAGGAATTGGTCATAGTATGTTTGCCCCCACTCCTCCACCTCTTTCAGTACAAAGAAAAAAAACGAGAAAACCTAGCACATATGAAAAAAAACAGCCCATCTTTCACCCACTTTTCATTTCTCTCTCCAAATCTATCTCAGTCTCTCTCTCCCGACCCATCCAAACACGCCCCTCCCCTGACCACCCCAGCGCCATCTCTCTATTCACCTATCGAGCGCCCCTCTCCCTATAGCCTCGACTTCCCAATGCCCTTCCTGATAGGAACTAACTAGGCTGCTAGCAATGTTCATAAGAGAAATCAAATTTGGGCAGGAAAGTAGTGGAGGATGATTCACTTAGATTTGAAAAGCACTGGAGTTAGGGTAGCTGAAACACGACGGCCTTGGATTACTATCGGATCAAATCCGACAGATCTTGGGTAGGAGATCCCAAATCCCGAGCTAGTAGTCTTACACTAGTGGAAAACGGCTAGCCACAACATTCAACATAATTGGTACGCTGGCTATATATGGGTAGTGTTGGCATCGATATTTTGTCAGACGTCACTACTATATGGGCCCAACTGTGCTGACCAGTTGAAAGATACTGGTGGTGTAGGCTTTATATACACGCCATAGATAAAGTATCTATTGTTGTCGCGCCCGATTTGAGAACAGCAACACTAAGTTTTGCCTATATATAAAAGTGTTGGCAGCCCTTGTTTCTCAAATACATTCACTTCCATTCTCCACAAAGTTCTACTCCCTCTTAGCTAGCTGCTTTGGTGACAATGGACCCACCGAAGCTTGTCGAATTGGCGCGAGCCCCGCGTGCGAGCCCACATCGGCGGGGCGTGTCGGAAGTTTGGGATTCCGCCGCCTTGGTCGGGCTCTCCTCTAGCCCCATTGGCTACGACATGAGCTCGCCACGACCAATGCAGCTGGCCCTGTCCGACGAACCATCCCACTGTAGCGCGACGTCTGTTGAATCTGGTAGCTATGCCATCGGCACCGAAGCTGATGGGAATCGAGCGAGGGCACCTGTGCTGCTTTGCGGCTGTCGACGCCCTGCTGATAAGCATGTGTCGCACACAGAATGAAATCCAGAGCGAAAGTTCTACATATGCGCTAACCATGGAAAGGTAATATGATAGAAAATACCTCTCGGTCTATTTTTGCTATTGCACAATTCAAATCTATCATCTAGTGTCGCTCACATGAAAATATGTATGTATATTGTGATCCATAGACATTAGGGACAAAATATTGCTACACATGGATATGAGTAGATCAAGTACGTAAGCGAGTTGTTCTAGTACTTCATTGGACCATCGAGACAACAGATAGATGAGATGCAACTGAAGAATGATGTGATGCGCGGCCAAATCAAAAAATTCAAGATGATTTGATATGCGCTTTTAGCTGGTGTTATGCTTGGCCTCACTCTCCTAGCTAGATCTGTGGAAGCATTTCTTCTCGTGGGAGTTATTACACTGATGATGATGATGTTCTTAGTCTAGATCAAGTAGTAGAAGTTATATATATATTTGTTATTGTCTTCATCCTTCAACTATTATGTATCTAGTCCAGATTAATGAGATCGGCATTGTTCTAATAATTGGTCTTGAACTATATTTTAGTATGTATATATTTTTTTACACAAATTAATAAAATAAAATATTAAATTAGCAAAGTAATAGAATAATAGAATAATAACACAATAAAATAATAAACTAAACATCTATAGGAATATAAAAACAATGTGTCCAACAAATAAAAGTAAAAAAGAGAAAATTTAATAAAATAAAAAACAATAGCAATGGTGTAGGCCATGTCGGCCAAAGCCAGCAATTACAGCGCTGGCCCCAGATCAATTAACCACCCACCCACCACATCCCAATTCCCCACCTACTCCAAATCCATAACCCGTGCCGCCGCCGACAGCACCCCCGGCCACCGTCTTCGTCGCCGCCGTCAAGTACCCGCCACTGTCTCCGCTTACGTCCCCTCTCGCCGCCTTCTCCATCGCCATCGCCATCTTTGTCTTCTCCGCCGCCATCGCCGTCTTCGTCTTCTCCGCCTATGTCTCCCCTCGCCGTCTGCCTCCACCATCGCCGCCCCTGTCATCGCTGCCCCGCAACGCCCCCTCGCCGTCTCCGCCTCCGTCAGTGAGTTCTAGGTAGTGTAGAATTTTTTTGTGTAAGAGTAGTGTAGAATTTTCAGAGTAATAGTGTGGAACTTTTTGTGTAAGCGTAGTGTAGAATTCTTAGTGTAAGAGTAGTGTAGAATTTTTAGGGTAAGGTTGTACTATAAGATTTTAGTGTAGTTGTAGTGTATGACTTTTAGTGTAATTAAGAGCAGTGTAGAATTTTTAGTGTAAGAGTAATGTAGAATTTTAGTGTAAGAGCAGTGTGGAGTTTTTTGTGTAAGAGTAGTGTAGAATTTTAGTGTAAGATTATAGTATATGATTTTAGTGTAGTTTTATTGTAGTTCTATGTAGTGTACTTGTAGTGAAAGAATTTAGTGTAGTTGTAGTGTAATATTTTAGTGTAGTTGTTATGTATGTTTAATTATATTGTAGATTGTAGGTTTTGTAGCTCGTCAATATGCCCAATTTTTACTAACTTGCTAGTTATATATGCACCATCAGAGATGGCCCCGAAGTTTCATGGTATGCAACCGAAGGGGAATAAGTATTATGCGACCATTAGGAAGGACATTGTCATCCATGAGCTTGGCCACTGGGACACCCCGGAGTTAGCGGTGCGCGTCTATAATGCCATGGCGGTAGAGTTCTATCAGGAAGGGACAATTATGAACTTCCCTGAGTGTCATGAGTACGCGAAGTTCCTCGCACCGGAGGGCATGAGGATATGCACTAGGGCTGAGGAGAAGGAGAACAAACAAACCGAGATGCAGTTCTTCGACTCATTGGTGAGCGAGCTTGCGAGAGATGAGAAACTCGTAGAGACCAACAAGATGATGCTACTTCAATATACAGCTAGGAAGAGCGCGGAGGAGGATCCCATAGATTGGGATGCCTTGGAGCGTCAAGAGGAGGGTCATCAGGGGTGTCGTAGGTCCACCAGGGACGACCACGAGGCCGGTCCCTCCGGCCACTAGCTTGCTAGATGGGTAGCGCTACCTGTTTTGTATGAACTATTTAACATTTAGCATGTTTTACATTTGAACTATGCATGGTTTGTAGAACTTCTTAATTACAAGTATGTGTCAATATCTAGATGGCCGGGTAGTGCTAGTTCGTCTTAACTATTTATGTTGCGTTGTATCTATGCATCTGTTATGTATGCCCCACGTACCCTCGTAGACCGAAAATGGAAGTGTTTAGTAACACGGTTGATGTAGTCGAACGTCTTCATGATCCAACCGATCCAAGTACCGAACGTACGACACCTCTGTGTTCAGCACACGTTCAGCACGATGACCTCCCTCGAGCTCTTGATCCAGTTGAGGACGAGGGAGAGTTCCGTCAGCACGACAGCGTGGCGATGATGTTGATGATGTTACCGGCACAGGGCTTCGCCTAAGCACTACGACGATATGACTGAGGTGTTAAACTATGGAGGGGGCACCGCACACGGCTAAGAGAACAACTGTTGTGCTTTGGGGTGCCCCCTACCCCCGTATATAAAGGAGGGAGGAGGAGGAGGTCGGCCAAGGAGGGGCGCGCCTATAGGGGGAGTCCAACTAGGATTCCCAATCCTAGTTGGAGTCCCCTTCCTTTTCCAAGAGGGGGAGAGAGGGAAAGAGGTGGAGAGGGAGAAGGAAAGAGGAGGGGCGCCGCTCCCTCCTAGTCCAATTTGTACCAGCCATGGGGGGCTTGCGGCCTCCCTGCGGCCCTCCTCTCCTTTTCCACTAAAGCCCATAAGGCCCATTAATCCCCCCGGGGGGTTCCGGTAACCTCCCGGTGCTCCGAAAAATGCCCGAACCTTTCCGAAACCTTTCCAGTGTCCAAACATAACCTTCCAATATATCAATCTTTATGTCTAGACCATTTCGAGACTCCTCTTCACGTCCGTGATCTCATCCGGGACTCCGAACAAACTTCGGTCATCAAAAACACATAACTCATAATACAAATCATCATCGAAGGTTAAGCGTGCGGACCTACGGGTTCGAGAACTATGTAGACATGATCGAGACACATCTCTGATCAATAACCAATAGCGGAACCTGGATGCTCATATTGGCTCCTACATATTCTATGAAGATCTTTATCGGTGAAATCGCATAACAACATGCGTTGTTCCCTTTGTTATCGGTATGTTACTTGCCAAGATTTGATCGTCGGTATCATCATACCTAGTTCAAACTCATTACCAGCAAGTCTCGTTACTCGTTCCGTAATGCTTCATCCTGCAACTAACTCATTAATCACATTG